TCTCAAAATGTTGCCTTGTAGAGTTGTCGCAAGATCGCTCTCTCTTACTGTGGGTGAGAGATGTTGACCATGAGCACAAGTTCTTCGGGAATGACGAAATACTCAGGATCCTCTCCGTTCGCCGACAAGACCATTGGCAGGATATCGAAGGCGGTCCCCTTCCCCTTCCAGCCCAACTCCATGCACACCTGCAAAGTGATTAACGAGCCTTCGAAAGGTTGAACAATTTATTTGGGGAGGTTTTACGGATATGTTCGTAACGAAGTGGGGCTGCAGTAGTCGAAATAGCACAAAATATTCCACAGAGTTCCTCTATGTGAACATATTTTTTTGCTCCCGTTTTTTTCATGGGCGCCGGATCATGTTGATGGAAATTTAACGATTGAAGCTAAGTCTCTGGCGAGCCTGGCAAACATTGCCTATTTGAAAGCCCTGTCCTATTATCGGCTTTACCAGATTTGCTTCGCCTTGATATGAGAAATCCGACACCACCCCATGTATTAGGACGGATATAAAAATAAAGGGAGATTTATAGAGGCCCAGAGCAAAACTAAACCGGAGGGAACTCTCTTGAGGCCCCTTGCTACACAGGGCTCCGGGCAGATTGTCCCCAATGCCTCTATATATGGACGGCCCTGTGGACAGCTGTCTGTTGCCTTATATTAACCACAATTACCAAGTGATGCCTTCATGCGCCCATTCTCATAGATGGACGAAATGCGTCTTATTTCTTGGAACGTCTCGAGGGAAGAGACAGAAGTCTTGCCTGCGTGAAGTCGACGTTGATGGGGTCCCCGAGGATGGATCCATCCGGCTGGGGATATCCGGCGAACCCGAAGAGTTGTTGGTTCCAAACCCTGTAGTCGTGCTTCCCGTCGGTCCTCTGGGGAAACACGGTGATCGCCGATCTGGATCGTATTAAATATTTCAGTCACACGGTGTCGCTCAAACGATCTCCAATGCAAAGGATCATCAAGAGAGAAACATCAGCACCTGATGTTTCCCTTGTTCGTGCAGTATTCGATGTGATTGCAGATCGCTTTGAACATCCCGTCCGCGGTGGTCACCGTCCTGGCATCAAAGACCTGCGGCGAGAAACAGAGCATGAGAGGTGCTTGAACAAGTATATTTTGCTTTAAAGTCTGCGCCACCCTCGTATTATTGGAAACACTCTTAGGTTTCAACCAACTTCAGAGACGTCTTCCACATGATTCACACCAATGCAAGACATTGCAGCCATTCCTACCAATGGGCGCGCAGCGATCTGGCGTCGTGTTGAAGTGGTTCTTTCATGTTAGGAAAGAAGTTTCCCTTTTTTCTGCGTTTCTTCATGATGTGAGCCGCCTCTCTCGGAGTCAGAGAGAGGTTGAAGAGATGAATATATTGTTAATCAGAGGGCTTTTCGCGACTGTGACGCCAAGAAAGTAAATTGGAGACTCTTCGAGGCAC